CTTCCTTCCGGGTGCTGGGACTGGCTCACCTTCTTGGCCCTAGGAGCCTGGGATGGCAGCGGGGGAGCTTCCTTCCGGGTGCTGGGACCGGCTCACAATAACTTTAAAATAGTTCTGTAAATGGAATTCATGCATAAGACAATCTCTTCTTCAAAGGGCATAATTTCAGAAGTGAAGATCTATAAAGGACAAATCCGCGCATCTATAGGCATTCCTAAAAAGAAGGGTGGTGTGACAGTTATTGGCACTGATAGGAAAGGAGGAACTGACCTGAATGGGACCACACTCTACACAGCTGTTCCCGGCATTCTTCCACCTGTTAGCGTTCAGTATTAATTTCATGAATCAAATCAAGACATGAAACTGTATTATAAGATTTTTTAAAAACAGCTGCTGATTGCTGATAATTGATAGGGAAGAAAAATGAGCTGTTATTTTCCTATCAGCTATTGTTCTCATTAACAAGGACAGGAAAAATATTATGAATAAATAAAATCTTACATCATACCAGAAGAAAAGACAGCTGAATCCCCTAAAGGATTTTCTGTTCTATCGTCAGACACCTAAAGAAAACAATTCTATTTAAATGGCTGCATTGATCAGTGTTATAATGTAAGTAGAAAGAAACCCAGTCCTCTAAATGAGCAATAAGAAATATTTATATTTTAAAAATAGAATAACCATTTTTTAAACTATATATACCATTGAGAATACTTTGGGTATAAAAGAAAATTTCCATTATAATCTTATTGACTGAAGGTATGAAGAAAATCAAGATATGAGAAAATTGTGGTCATGTTTTGAGATGTTGTTTTCCTTCTGTTTGCTAGCCCTAGCTAAGTTCCCCTAGCATAAATGTCTAAAAAATATGTGGAAGATTTAAATATAAATGGGAATCTTCCCCAAAGCAAAAAAAAAGTTATCTAGTATTGAATTCTAATTTTTCTCCTCTCTCTACATCCAAACTACAGTAAGTACTATTCATTTAACTTTCTCAGGTTCCCTTTATGCTTCTTTTCAGCCTCATTACCACTTCATTAAATGAGACTGGTTTTATTATTTGGACCATGGCAGTCATCTCTCTTCCTTTAGTCTCTTTTTCAGATAAACCTCTAACTATCATATTGTCCATCTGAATGTATTTTTTCCCTGCCTAATTTACCTGATTGCCATTTATTAAAGCTTGTGTTTTTTTGTTTGTTTTTTGTGGTACGGGGGATTGAACTCTGGGCCTTGCGCTTGTAAGGCAGGCAGCAGAACCACTGAGCTAAATCCCTGGCTCTGTTAAAACTTCTTTAAGCATGACAGATAGGGACCTGCCTACATGGCCTGGTACTTACTTGCCTCATTTTTTTAAGCACTTCCCTGTGTAGCTTGGGATCCACCATCGCAATAGTTCCCCAGAACCTCACCCACATGAAACGTAATCCCCACTTATCTTCAGTGTCACTTTCCATGAGTTCAGTTACATGAGATTAACTGCAGTCTGAAAATATTCATTGGAAAATTCCAGAAATAAATAATTCATAAGTTGTAAACTACACACAATTCTGATAGCATGAAATTTCATGCTGTCCCATTATATCTGTGCTGCACATACTGTATTACTTACCTGTTAGTCACTTAGTAGCTGTCTAGGTTACTAGATCAACCATCTCTGTGTCACAGTACTTGTGTTCCAGTAACTGTATATCACAAGGCCTGTGTCATTCACTTCCCTTCGTCTACCTTACATCATCTCATCAAGTCGGCATTACATCATCTCATATCATAACAAGATGGCACATGTATAGCTGAAATTATGATGCACCTTCCAGATCCCCCTTCAGCAAAAAAGGATTATTTCCCAACACATGAAAGATCTGCTGCCAGACCACTCTCTTCAGGATTTGCCTTTTCTCCAACTCAGAATGATGGGGCCTTGAGAGTAAAGTCCATCTTCCCTTCCTGCCGCTTCTTCTCCACAGGTGTTTATCTCAAGACTCCCTAATAAACTCCCTGTAGGCAAACTCTCAAGTTAGATGGAAACCCAACCTGTAACATTTTGCTTTATTGATACTCTCCTCTTAAGAACTAGTTCATGTGAAGTTATGGTTAGCCAAAATCTCACTAATTCAAGATCATTTCATCAGACATATATTGAGCACTAATTCATGCCAGGCATTATGATAAGATACTTTGGAAACAGATTAAGATTCGGTTTTTGCCTTGAAGGAGTTTATGGTCTGAGGTGACAACTGCTTATGAAAATAACTGCACTAGCATCTTTAGAATAACCTTTTTGAATTAACTATAATAATTTTAGTATAAAAGTCAAAGTCATGGACTTTGTGGTATTGTGTAGACCAAAAGAAAACTATTTCAGAGGGCCAGGAATTTAGCTCAGTGGTTCTGGCACCTGCCTTGAAAGCACAAGGACCTGAGTTCGATCCCCAGTACCAAAAAAAAAAGAAAAAAAAGAAAACTATTTCAGGGAAAGAAAAAGGAATATAAGTAAGCAGTCTAAAATTTGAGAAGATTACAGAATTTGTCTTTATAATTCCAGAAACCTTTAGGGAAAAAGGTTTTAAAAAACTTTTTATTTTGAAATATTTGAGCTTAAAGAAAAACTATAAGAATAATATTAACTTATACATTCTTTATTGAGACTCTCAATTTTTATCATTTGCCATCAGTCTTTCTTTACACATGGACACACATACACACAATTGATCTGTACCATGTGAGAACAGACTAAATACATCATCTCCTTTTATTTTTTAATACAGCAGTGTTTGTCTCCTAAAAACAAAGATATTCATTTTAGAACTACAGTGCAGTTATCAATTCAGGAAACATAATCTGATACTTCAATCTAGCATCTGATTCAAATTTCATTAATTATCCCCGAAAAGGTGAGAATTTTTGTTTGGGGCTGGAGATTGAACCCAGGGTCTTACTCATCTACTTTTCCAGTGCACTACACTTCCAACCCTAAAAAGATGAGTTTTAAGAGGAATAATATAATTTTTGTAATTTAAACTAAAAATTGTAAGCCTTAGGAGAAAACCTCAGAAGTTTGCTAGTGATTTAAGTTCCACTTCTGAGTTAAGGAGAAAGCATAGGTAAGCCCAGATTACCTACAAAGATGGGGCTTAGGTCTCCCAAGAAGTGAGCCTTGTTACTGGACAGCCCATTTGGCGAAGTACATTTTCTAAGAGATTACGTATTCTGGGTGCAGGGATTGTGGGTTTCTTTGAGCTCCCATGAAAGTAGACCAATTTATCTAGGCCTGACGTCATTCTTTGGAAATGCCGTTTGTGTTCCGGCTTTCCCCCAGGGAGGCAAATAGGTAGGGGAGCGATGACTCTGGGAAACAGGTCCTGTGGGGTCTCACTGACTCATGGTTCCACAGTGACTTGGTGGGCAAGGACCAAGGACCCTACAGCCTACCCAAGGCCCCGATGGGGGCCGTGGTTGGGCATGGGCAGCCGGAACTCTGCCCCCAAACGTCACTTCCGGCGAGTCTGTTGGGAGTTGGTGGTGGTAGCTGAGGCCTAAGTCCAGCGTGCCAAAGAGGGAGAACCCCAGGTCGTGCCTGCCCCAACTTCAACGCTTTTGGAGGTCATGGCTTCCCCTCTGAAGCTAGAGCAGGATATGCAAGGCAAGGTAGATTCGTTTCGGGCTCGTATCGCCCAGGAGGCCGAGAATCTGGTGTCTACCTTCTTCCCTCAGAAGCTGTTGGAGCTGGATAGCCAGGTCCAGGAGCTCTGGCTGCAGGATCTGTCCCGAATCCGTTTGGTGCCAGCTCCAGAGCCCCTGGCCACCCCAGACACCGCTGGAGATGGGCCCAACTGGGATCTCCTTCCTCTCCAGACCCAGGCCCCAGGCAAAGTACCTGCACTGCCCGGCGGGGAGGGATGCCTGCTGCGGAGCAACCAGCATCTGGTGGAATTGATTGAGCAGGTCAAACCTGAGATTGAGCTGCTGAGACAGAAGTGCAACACAGTGCGGATGTGGGTGCAGCTGCTCATCCCAAAGGTGGAGGACGGCAATAACTTTGGAGTGTCTATACAGGAGGACACCGTGGACCAACTATGGACAGTGGAGAGCACCGCGACCTCCTATCTGCGCCGCTTTTCCACCTACTATAATACCCGGGCCAAGTTGGTGTCCAAGACGGTGAAGTACCCCCAGGTGGAAGATTATCTCCGCACCATAGCAGAGGTCGACGAAAATGAGTACCTGAGTGTGCGCCAGATCTTGCTGCATGTCCGGAACCAGTATGCTACCTTGCATGACGTAATCCTCAAGAACATCGACAAGCTCAAGACCCCTCGGAGCACCAACACCGACAACCTGTACTGAGGACCTTCCACTGCGCTTTTCTGTCGGAGCTGGCTGAGCTGTGTAGACAGCTAGCAGGCTGGTTATTAATAACTGCAGGTGGTGAAAGGACTGGAAAATGTGTTAGGTTTTAGTTAGAATTTCATGCAGCTTATGCTCATACTGAATCCTCTTAGTGTAATTTTTAATTTTCCTTTCAGGGGACAATTGAAACAAACCATCTGGTAGAATATAGTAAGATTAGCCGAAGAGAAAGGACTGCCATTTTTAAAAGCAGCTTTGTAAGTGAACGTTGGTCAGTTTCTTTATTATGTTGGTGACATTGAATGGTTTCAAGAGGTTACTTAAAACCCACAATTTAAAGAAAAGTTGAAGCTTTTCCTAAAATGTTCTGCTAAATGTTACTTTGTTCAAAACTAGTATGTTCCCTTTACACCATCATTGACTTTTTTGCAAGGAAAGGAGTTTAAAGCGATACGTTTAGCTTATTGTATACCTTCATTTTAGCAGATTGAAATAAAATGTGATCATAACATGTTATGGCCTTACTGTGCTTATCTGAACTTGAATTTTCAGAAATACAGCGTTTCCTTCCTCCTCAGACACATACCCTCGATATTTTTCAGCACTGATGTATGAGAATACATTTTAATTCTTCTAGAGAAATGGGTTTCCACCTCTCTGGAAGGAAACGAAATCTGTGAAAATGGCTTCTTTACATAAACTTCTACCATCTCAGCATCTTCCAGCTTCCTTTTCCTCACAATTTAGAATTTCTTCTCCATATCCATTTAGCTTATAAGTCCATGCTAAATCCTTCAAGATTTATGTCACATTTACTTTTTTCTCCCATAGTTGATTTTCATGTCTCTTCCCATCCCATTTTGTTTAAGATATTTCTGATAAGCCCTCATTAGAATTTCTCTTTTCCATCATATGGGTCATATGCAACATTTGCCTTTTCATTTTTATTATCTGTTTCACCTGAGGGAGTAAAAATACATTTATTTCTGAAAAAAAGTGAGTTAATTTGAATCACAGAAATTCTGTTTTGGGGATTTAGCTTAGCGGTACCCTGCCTGCTTTGCAAGTGCAAAGTCCTGAGTTTGATCCCTGGTACCAAAAAAAAAAATCTGTTTTAAGTGCCATTTTTAACATTTTAGCTATAGTTATTTGGAAAATGTGCTTTGTCCTTACTAAAATGAACCTGTCCTTAATAATATGGATGTGAATATTTGATTATTCTAAGCTTTGTAAACTGGTTTAGTGAAAATTTTATTTTCAACATAAACTCCTGAAATATAACAAGAGAAAACAAATTTATTCCATTTTTATACTTAGGTTCAAATGTGCTCTTAAAAAGCAACAACAGAAGATATTGCCTAATAGACATCTGCTCCCATTATTCCTCCTCTCCCCAAGAGTTCTCGTATTTTCCTTATAAGGTGTCGTATTTGATGCAGAAAATCCAGGGCCCCTACGTCAGTTCATACCATTTGAGAGGCATTTAATTGTGCACAAGTGTTGTAATGGAGAATGTAAAGGAGTCCACGTGTTGCTTCAACTTTTCAACCAGTGCTAATCATGTAAATTTAAAATTTCTTTACATACTATAACCATCATTTTTTTGTGTTCCTTTTATTCTTAAACTGTCAGACCCTACGTCAGACTGAAATAAATTGTCTATAACCCCAGAAATGTTCATTTACTAAGAAAAGATACAAGTACTTTGCAGTTAAAGATTTCTGGCATTTCCATTTTGTTCTCTGCTCTAACGCTATATCACTAAATTGATGGTGGAATGTTTTTATACAGTTCCTACTTCTGAAAAAATTAATCCCTTTGTGATTTTCCCCTTTCTTGAAAATGGTTGCAAAAACTTTTATAGTAATAAACCTACTTTAGGAACTATGCTAAAACATTGTATCCAGTATGAATCATTTGCCTATTATTAGTACTAGAGAAGGAAAGCCCCATTTTTGTCCCTGTTGAAGAGATAGCTGGAAGAGAGAGAGAGAGACAGAGAGAGAGAGTGAGAGAGAGAGAGAGGGAGGGAGAAGGAGAGAATGAATATGCATATACTGAGTCTGCCAAAAAAATGTATACGCACTTCAGGAAAAGAAAAACTTGTATAAATATTTTAATACTAAATTGATTGAGACCTCATGAAATTAGTACAAGTACTTTTAGCCTCTACAACGACAAGAGGTGCTCAAAGTGGTGGCCATTAGCTTCCAGACATTTATTAGTATGACAAACTGCTGCTTGGGTAACCTTGGCTATTGAGATTACTGCACGTGTATTTTCAATTTCTTCTCTGAAGGTCAGTGGTGTAGTGGGTTTTCTGCGATACACAACATCTTTAGAGTCCCCCGTACGAGAGTAGCACCATCTGTTGTAAAAACAGCATACTATTTTTCTTTTCCTGAAGTGTGTATATATTTTTTGCAGTCTATGTGTTTTAAGAAGTAATGGAATTAAATAATTTTAGTTTTAAGTTCTTTCTGTAATTCATAAAAGCTACTGTGTAATATTTGATTGGAAGTTTCAAAGTTAGTAGAGCTGATGTTTTGGAACTCAGTAAAATACTTTTCTACACTTGCTCTTAGCCAACAGACTAAAAAGTGATGAAATAGCTTTCTTTTTTTTTTTTTTTTTTTTTG